GTGTGTGTGTGTCTGTGTGTGTGTGTGTGTGTGTGTGTGTGTGTGTGTCAGGACATGGAGAACAAGATCCGCTCCACTCTCAATGAGATCTACTTCGGCAAGACCAAGGACATCGTCAACGGCCTGAGGTACGTCACACGACTCAAAACACGACTGTTCCCTGCAGCATCGCAACAACACGTCAACACACCGGTTTTCAATGGCTATGCGCAACAACCGATTCATGAGTGAATGATTCTTTGAATGAACTGACTCGCAAACCAGTCTCAGACTCACTGGTTCAGATTCCATCTGCTGAATCACTGAGCTGGTCAGCACTTATTGATTCACTCATATCTGAACTCAAAATGAACCATGAAATCTTACAGTACTTCAGATTTGATGTTTGAATCCATGTCATTACTTGTTTACTGATTCAATTCAATTCTGAGTTCTTGGTTCTCAAAATGAATCAAGAACTCTTACAGTTGTACTTGAGATTTGAATCAGTGTCGTTGCACATTTACTGATTCATGCTTTAAATTACATTGGAAATCATCGATTCACATTTTCTTAAACTATAACCCTAAATATTTGTCATGATTGAAAAATTCGTAAACCACAAGATGAACGTAATATAAATTAGCTAAAACCTTTTAGACCTCCTGAGGTTGACAACGTATGTTTTCTGAAGATTTTATTTTATTTTAATATACATTTTTAACATTTATTTTTTTTTTGGTTTGTTTGATTGATTGATTTTTTATTGTGTTTTTTAATTTAATTGAATATTTTATTTATTTTAGACTATTTGAGATGCTGTTGTTTATTTCAGTAATTCAGTGAACTGATTCAAACAGTAACTTCTGAGTTTGTGAGTCGTCTTGAATGAATCGTTCTCATCAGTGAATCAGACTACACCGCTTGTGTTGCTTATTGCGCACAGCCAGCAAAAAATACTTTATAGACTGATGTGTTTTCCTTCTATGAATCAGAATATTTACATTTTTACCCAGCTTTCCATGTTTCTCATTTGAATGTCCAATACAGTGATGTTTTTAAGAGTCACTTATTATGTAAACAAATATACTTATTCATATTTTAGTTTTTGTTTCATTGTATATACAGATTCAGATTAATTACCGATTCATTTCAGATTCAGATACATTACCGATTCAGATACATTACCCATTCAGATTCATTACCCGTTCAGATTCATTTCAGATTCATTACCCGTTCAGATTCATTTCAGATTCATTACCCATTCAGATTCATTTCAGATTCATTACCCATTCAGATTCATTACCCATTCAGATTCATTTCAGATTCATTACCCATTCAGATTCATTTCAGATTCATTACCCATTCAGATTCATTACCCATTCAGATTCATTACCCATTCAGATTCATTTCAGATGCTTTCGTTCTGCTGAGGTTTCCTCAAATTTTCACCGTCTGTCTGTCTCTTCACTCGTCCGTCTGTCTGTCTGTCTGTCTGTGGTTCTCGGGCTCCAGATCTATCGAGTCTCTCCCTGATAATCAAAAGTACCGTCAGCTGCAGCAGGAGCTCTCTCAGGTTCTGACCCAGCGTCAGATCTACATTGACTAGGGTCAGCTGTTTGTGTGTGTTTGCCTGCAGTGACCTCCTTAACAGACACACTAACTGCATGCAGGTGCATTCTGGGTACAGCTCATCAATATTAATGTGTTCATAAACCTCCAGTGTGGTTTAAACTGTAGTTTAATACAGTGTTCATGAGGTCGATTCGTTTTTATTGCACAGTTGTTTTCTCTCAGGGTGTACATGGGTTCTTAAAAAGTCTTACATTTGGTTTAATCAAATTTAAGGCCATAAAAGGTCTTAAATACTATAATAAAAGTCTTAATTATTATTAAGGACCATAGTGTTTATGTTATAGTTTTTATATTATAATATGTTGTAGATGATTATAAGATGCATATTTTACGCCTTTCGTCTTTTTGAATGAGCAGCTGAACTATTAAGACATAAACATTTCAAAATAAGAGTCCCGGTGTATTTCAGGCTTGTTTATAATTAAAATCCCTCATTATGCATATAATCGTTTTGTTTTTGGTTATTGTTGGTATTTTGGTTCCCATATTCCTCTCATCTGTTTGAATGAGCAGCTGAAATAGTCAAGTGTATACATTTCAAAATAAAAGTCCCCGAGTATCTCAGGCTTGTTTAGGATTAAAAGTCCTTCATTGTGCATAGAATCTTTTCAGCCTGGTTAGTATTGGTATTTTGGTCACACAATAAACAGTATGGCATTTAAATTTAAATTTCCTTGAACTCGTCGTATCAGCAAAATCCAATAACGATGGACCTCTACTTTCTGTGTATTGATTTGAATACATATGTCTTGAGTATTTTAACCTGTTTTGCAGTTGCAAGTGTGCCTGTTTAATGAAGTAAAAGAATCTGAGATTTATTTTGAGATCGAATGGGTTTGTTCTGTAACAGCATGTGGTGTATTTGATTTAGTTTGATTCAAATTAAGGTCTTTAGTTTGATTGTAAAACTCTCCAGAAACCCTGTTCTCTGTACGATGGCGAATAAAAGTGTGCGACGTTTTGAAACCTGTCTCACTCTCTCTTCCCTCGGTTTTTTTCGTGTTTTTCAGGAGCGTTCAGACGCTGGCGGATAAATCGAAGCAGGAGGCTCTGAAGAACGACCTGATACAAATGCTTAGCCAACGCAGCAAACAGCAAAGCTAGAGACGATCACCTGCCCGTCTCTCTCTCTCTCTCTCCGTCTGTCTCACTCTCTGTCTCTCCACCTCACGGCTGTCTGTCTGCATCTGCGCAAAACAAACGAAAAAGTAGAAAAGGCTACGCTTCTTGTTTTTGTATTTCAGCTCGCGTTTCACTGCACCCGTCTCTCTCTCTCTCGTCTGTAATCATGTGGTATTAAGACGGCGTCTGATTGGCTCTCGGTGACATCATCGCAGTGGGGGCGGAGCTTTTCTCCCGCCATCAGAAGAGCACGTTTTCTCGTAGTCTCACCCGTCACATACGTGCGTCAGGAATAAACGAGAAGCGGGTGATTATATTAATATATATAAATATACACACGTGTATGTATTATGAGCATTATCTTGCTGTTAATATTAAACTTTCTGCTTGAGTCCACACAGACGAGTGTGTGTTTGTGTCATTAAGCTGCAAACATATTCCATCTGCGAGCGTCAGACAGTTTCGTTGTTTTCTTCGGGGTGGATTATTTGTCAAGTTAAATTTTTTTTTTCTCTTGGTCTGTTTTTTTGTTTTTGTAAAGCTTACAGTTTGTTAAATTAGGGCCTCCAGCAACAATAAAAAGAGGAAAAACTGTATCCGTGTGCTTTGTGTTTGTTTAAAAAGCATTGAACGGCTCTTAATAGCACTGGCAGGGGGTTTTGGGGCAGTTGCAGCTGCCCTTTTAAGATCTGCCCCCACTGCGTCCACAGGACACCCCCCTCTCTCCCCCGGCGCTGTGAATCAGGTTTATGTTAATGACCCCCCTCCCCAGACTCGATCCGCTTCACTGTGTGTGTGTGTGTGTGTGTGTGTGTGTGTGAGTGTGAGTGTGAGTGTGTGTGTGTGTGTGTGAGTGTGTGAGAGAGCAGTGCGTGGATCAGCATGGAGACTCCACACGCAAACTCTGAGGGGGAAAGCTGGATTTAATTCATTCGCCGAGCAGCACCGAGGAGCGATGAAGCGGGATTTGTTGCTCTTTGTTTTCGGGTGGTTCAAACTCCCGTGGCTCCTGGATTGTTTGGTTGTTCATGTGAGAGAGGATGCGGGACTGGGCACCGCGATCGCCGGTCTGGAGGGAAGCTCCGCTTGCGCGCTGGAGCAGCTCATCCTGCCGCGCTTCGCGGAGAGTTTCCTGCGGCCGGACGCGGGTGTGCTGACCCTCTCGGGCGCTTTGAAGTGCGACGCGGTTCTTCTGAACCCGTTTAGGGTGTACGCGGTCGTGGACTGCGCTGATGACGCGTCGGGTTTCAGACACCTTGTAACCAGCCAGTATGACGTGCACGTTCACGGGGAGAACTGCGCGAGGGTACGCAAACGGGAAGAAAAACTGGATGTGGAGATTATAAGTTTGATAGACACTTCTGAGTGCCTTGAGGCGGACACTGCTGTTTTCCGGGTGTTTGATGTGTTACCGGGCAACCCGACGCGCTGTAATGTAACCGGGACTTCAGCGCTTTATATCTCCGACGGGCTGCTGTTTACTTCTGCTCCGCTGTGTTTCACTCGCCACTCATTGCTGGAGTTTCAACTGCGCTGCGTGGGACGCGACAGAAGCGCACGTTCTGGTCTCGCACATGCGCAGTGGCGCGTGGGCCGCGGCCCGTTCACGCAAACACACCTGAGGAAGTTACTGCAGCGGGCCGCGGGTTCGAACTCGGGTCTGCTGAGCAGAAGGAAGAGGAATGTCAACAATAACCCTCAGTTTCAACCTCCCATGTATCAGGTGTCCGTTCCAGAGAATCAACCAGCCGGGACTTTTGTTGTTGTTTTAAAAGCAGTTGACCCGGATGAGGGTGAAGCTGGTAGACTGGAATATTTCTTAGAGGCATTGTTTGATAGTCGCTCCAACAATCTCTTCGCCGTCGACCCATCAAGTGGAGTCGTTTCCACCGTGGAGATACTAGACAGAGAAACAAAGGACACGCATGTGTTCAGGGTCACGGCGGTTGATCGTGGAACGCCACGACGTACAGCCATGGCCACTCTTACCGTAACAGTCAGCGATACGAACGATCACGACCCCGTATTTGAGCAGCAGGACTATAAAGAGAATGTGAGAGAAAATCTGGAGATTGGTTACGAGGTTCTAACTGTGCGCGCCACGGATGGTGACGCTCCCGTTAACGGAAACATCCTTTATCATTTGCTGAACAACAACAACGGGACTAACGATGTTTTTGAGATCGATTCCCGGTCTGGCGTTATTCGCACGCGAGGACTGGTTGACCGTGAAACGGTCGAATCCTATGTTCTTCTAGTCGAAGCCAACGACCAAGGACGGGATCCCGGCCCCCGAAGTGCAACGGCGACCGTCCACATCATCGTGGAGGACGATAACGACAACACGCCGCAGTTCAGCGAGAAACGCTATGTCGTTAAGGTTCCCGAAGACTTGACACCCAACACCGAAATCCTGCAGGTGACGGCGACAGACCAGGACCGCGGGAACAACGCCATGGTCCATTTCAGCATCATGAGTGGCAACACAAGGGGCCAGTTTTACATCGATGCCCAAACGGGAAAATTAGATTTGGTGAGCCAGCTGGATTACGAGATGAATAAGGAGTACACGCTTCGCATTCGAGTGCAAGATGGCGGACGCCCGCCGCTCTCCAACATCAGTGGCCTCGTCACAGTGCAAGTACTAGACGTTAACGACAACGCTCCGATATTCGTAAGCACTCCATTCCAAGCTACAGTGCTGGAGAACGTTCCAGTTGGATATTCCGTCATTCATATTCAAGCCGTAGACGCCGATGCGGGAGATAATTCCCGTTTGGAATATCATCTCACAGAGACCACTCCCAACTTCCCGTTCACCATCAACAACAGCACCGGCTGGATCGTCGTAGCATCGGAACTGGACAGAGAAAGCGTGGACTTCTATAGCTTCGGAGTGGAGGCGCGAGACCACGGAACGCCGGCCATGTCCTCGTCCGCTAGCATCAGCATGACTATTCTAGACGTCAACGACAACAACCCTGAGTTCACGCAAAAGGCCTACTACATGCGTCTGAACGAGGACGCGGCTGTAGGAACGAGTGTCGTCACCGTGTCCGCCATCGATCAGGATATTAACAGCGTTGTTACGTATCAGATCTCGAGTGGGAATACGAGAAACCGATTTTCTATCACCAGCCAGAGCGGTGGAGGCCTGATAACCCTCGCTCTACCGTTGGACTATAAGCTGGAAAGACAGTACGTCCTCACCGTCACGGCATCTGACGGGACACGGTTTGACACGGCTAAGGTTTACATCAACGTCACGGATGCCAACACGCACAGGCCGGTTTTCCAGAGCTCGCATTACACGGTCAACATCAACGAAGACCGGCCTGTTGGCACGATCGTAGTGATGATTAGTGCGACGGACGAGGACACGGGCGAGAACGCTCGAATCACATACTTCATGGACGACAGCATCCCGCAGTTTAACATCGATTCGGACAGCGGTGCAGTGACCACGCAAATGGAGTTGGACTACGAAGATCAAGTTTCCTACACTCTCGCAATTACAGCTCGAGACAACGGCATCCCGCAGAAATCCGACACCACTTACTTGGAGATCCTGGTGAACGACGTGAACGACAACTCGCCCGTGTTTCTTCGCGACCACTACTTGGGCTCAGTCATGGAGGACATTCCCACCTTCACCAGCGTCCTGCAGGTGTCCGCGACCGACCGAGACTCGGGCCTCAACGGACGCGTCTTCTACACGTTCCAAGGCGGAGAAGACGGAGACGGAGACTTCATCATCGAGTCCACTTCTGGGATCGTAAGAACCCTGCGACGCCTTGACCGAGAAAACACGCCCGTTTATAACCTCCAGGCCTTCGCGGTGGATAAAGGTGTTCCACCGCTCAAGACGCCGGTTGATATTCAGGTGACCGTTTTAGACGTAAATGACAACCCGCCTGTGTTCGAGAAAGATGAGTTTGATATATTCGTGGAGGAGAACAGTCCCATCGGGCTTGTGGTGGCCCACATATCTGCGTCAGACCCAGACGAAGGCAGCAACGCTCAAATCATGTACCAGATCGTCGAAGGCAACATCCCTGAGGTCTTCCAACTGGACATCTTCTCTGGCGAGCTCACTGCTCTGACCGACCTCGACTACGAGACACGTTTGGAGTATATCATCGTAGTTCAAGCCACGTCTGCGCCGCTGGTCAGCAGAGCCACGGTCCACATCAAACTCATCGACAAGAACGACAACGTCCCCGTCCTCAAGAACTTCCAGATTATATTTAACAACTACGTAACCGATAAGACCAACAGCTTCCCGTCGGGTGTGATCGGCCGGATCCCGGCTCACGACCCGGACATCTCCGATCAGCTCCACTACAGCTTCCAGGCTGGAAACGAGCTGAATTTGGTGCTTCTAAACCAGAGCACCGGAGAGATTCGACTCAGCCGAGCCCTGGACAGCAACAGACCGCTGGAGGCGTCCATGAAGATCTCCGTCTCGGGTAAGAACCTGTTTCGGCTCTTTCAATGTGCTTGTTTAGCGGTTTTGAAGGACTGAGCGCTTGCGTGACATCTGTGCATTTGTAGGACGATGGTGATGTATAATACATGACCTGTGCTCCGAGGTGCAATGTCTCGGTATTAATAAGTGAGCGAGTGAATGCGCTGAGGGACACGTTACTGATGCACATTTATGGTTTTAATTATCATTATAGGTATTCTTATCATTATAATTATTTTAGTTATTGTTGTAGTTATCATTATAGTTATTTTAATTATCATTGTATTATAGTTATCGTTATAGTTATCGTCATCATAAACATTTTGATTATCATTGATATTTTTATTGTTATATTTATTGTTACAGTTATTTTAAAGGGGTCATATGATGCGATTTCAAGTTCTTCTTTCTCTTTGGAGTGTTACAAGCTGATTGTGCATAGATAAGATCCCTAAAGTTGCAAAGACTAAAGTCTCAAAACCAAAGAGATATTCTTTATCAAAGTTAAGACTCTGC